CACACACACACACACACACACACACAAATTAACTTCACAGATTTTTAAGAGAACTTAATGCACAATGCTGCTGCAATCACATATTTATGCAAGTTATGCCTCAGAAGCAGAGGCATGTTCCTAGCAGTTTTCAAAGTCAACTGTCAACAGATGATTACAATAGTGGTTAAAGTTCCAAACATTGTGTAGACAATCTCCTGTTTTCTTCCATTACTTACTGTAATTCTTCACTGTTGTAGCCAATGTTTAGCCAAGTGTTGAGCAAGCAGCAAGCCCTCAGTAAGTAGATGCTAAAGAAATAAAAATACAATTACCTTGCACTCATCAGCTGAGAGGTTATGATAGAGTGGGCATCCTGAGATGGAGAAATGTCTCTCGTGTTTTCCTGTAAGATGTCCTGTTAAAGGAGGGAAAACTTAATCTCCAGAAAGAAGATGTTCACTTGGAAAGTCCAGATTTTTCTCTATAGCAAACTTATTTTCTTGCTCTATCATTTACATCAAATACATTCACCAAAAATAGTGACCTGAATCAACTATAAATTCTTTGCTTCTGCAGGACAGATCTGATAATCTTTATAAATTCTTGTATATATTCAATGCAAGTTTTTGTTACTTCTGATATAATTGTCAAATCCTTTGTCAAAACTAAAGTATATAAAATCATACATCCACAAAACAACATTACATATAAGAACCTTTTCTTTTTGTGGAATTCTACTCTATGTTAATCAAGTAATATGCATAAATTAAATGTACCACTTTTTCTACTGTGCAGAGCAACCTAAACAGAATTTAATCCCTTTAATTAAAGAAACATGAAAAATGGAGAAGAAAATGGCATTTTTATTTTTCTTTTTTGGTCGGTCATGGGGCTTGAACTCTGGGCTTGGGCGCTATCCCTCAGCTCTTCAGCTCAAGGCGAGCACTCTACCACTTGAGCCACAGCGCCACTTCCGGTTTTCTACTGGTTTATTGGAGATAAGAGTCTCACGGACTTTCCTTGCCTGGGCTGGCTTTGAACCGTGATCCTCAGATCTCAGCCTCCTGAGCAGCTAGGATTACAGGCGTAAGCCACCAGCGCCTGGCGAAAATGTCATTTTTCTATCATGTAAGTACACATATTTTTTCTTTTGTGCTGCTCCTAGTGCATGAACTCAGGGCCTAGGTGCTATCTCAGAGTTTTTTTTTTTGCACTCTCTCACTTGAGCCTCACCTCTAGTTCTAGCTTTTTGCTGATTTATTAGAGATGAGAATCTCTCATTTGTCTACTTGGGGGGCTGGGAAGGTGGCTCAGTGGTAGAGTGAGTGCCTTGCATGCATGAAGCCTTGGGTTTGTTTCCTTAGCACCACATAAGCAGAAAAAGTTGGACGTGGTGCTGTAGCTCAAGTGGTAGAGCACTAGCCTTGAGCTGAAGAGCTGAGGGACAGCGCCCAGGCCAAGGGTTCAGGCCCCACCACAGACAGACAGACAGACAGACACACAAATTGTCTACTTGGGCAGCTTGGAACTATTACCCTCAGATCTGAACCTCCTGAGTAGCTGGGATTATAGGTGTGAATCACTGACACAAGAGTAAACACACCATCTCTTTTGGTGTTTGACCTCAAGTTTCAGTCTTGCCAAGCAGGAGTTCTGCCACTTGAGCCATTCTTCCAGCCCTTTTTACTTTATTTTCCAAATAGGGTCTTGTATTTCTCTCCTGAGTGTGGACTGCAATCCCTGTGTAGGGAGTTAATAAGAGATGCAGCATCACTCCAAGCTCATTAACAAGATAAGGGTCTTGTAAACTTTTGTTCTTGCTGGCCTTGAACTGAGATCCTCCTGATTTCCATGTCTGAAGTAACTGGGATTATAGGTGCCTGGCCTAATCATACTCATATTTTGAGGGATGACTAGTTCAGTTTAAAAAGTTAGGCTTCTTTTATAATTCTGATGAAAAAATAGATATGAACTATCTATATATAGTTATGGAATAGATACAAGAGCTTAAGAGGTGAAAATGTTAGAATACAGAAGCTTGTTTTATCTTAAGAAGTATCTTTTTTTTGTGTTGCTGGAGATTTAAAAAAAAAAACAAAAAACAGGATCTTACACATGATAGGCCCTAACACACAGCTACATTCCTAGTCCATTCTTCTGTTTTTCATGTACAATTTTTGAAAAACACTCAAGATGTTGAACATTATTTTACATTATTATACATCTCTTTAACCAAGAAAATTTATAAAATACCAGCCATGGAGTGAAAGGGCTGATGAGACAATGCTAATTAGTGATGTAAGGATATGCTAGGGTAAGGTAAAAGTATACAAAAGAATCTTCGCCTTTCTTTTATGAAGAAAAACAATAACAAAAACCATTGTTTTTGTTCCAATAATGGGGCTTGAATTCAGGACCTCGCATCCTTGCTTGTTTTTTTCTGCTCAAGGTTAGCTCTCCACTACTTGAGCGATATCTCTACTTTTCGCTTTCTGCTGGTTAGTTGAAGATAAAAGCCTCACAGATTTGTCTGTCTGGACTTTGAACCACATCCTCAGATTTGAGCTATTACCTGCTGGTGAAAAAAGGCTTTTTTTTTTTTTTTTGCCAGTATTGGGGCTTGAACTCAGGGCCTGGACACTGTCCCTGAGCTTCTTTTGCCTAGTGCCTAGTGCCAGTGGCTCACGCCTGAAATCCTAGCTACACAGGAGCCTGAAATCTGAGGATCACGGTTTAAAGCCAGCCCAGGCAAGAAAGTCCGTAAGACTCTTATCTCCAACTAACCACCAGAAAACTGGAAGTGGTGTTGTAGCTCAAGTGGCAGAGCACTAGCCTTGAGCTGAAGAGCTGAGGGACAGGACCCAGGCCCAGAGTTTAAGACCCATGACCGATAAAAAAATAAAAATAAATTATACACACACAGAGTAATTTATAGAGCAGACCTTATTTGTTTGTTTGGTCAGTCATGGGGCCTGAACTCTGGGCCTGGGCACTGTCCCTTAGCTCTTCAGCTCAAGACTAGTACTCTACCACTTGAGCCACAGTACCACTTCTGGCTTTTTCTGCTTATGTGGTGCTGAGGAATTGAACCCAGGGCCTCATGCATGCAAGGCAAGCACTCTACCACTGAGCCACCTTCCC